CTCTCCCCATCTGTCTCTCCTCCATCTCTCTCCCCTCCATCTCTCTCCCTATCTGTCTGTCCATCTCTCTCTCCATCTCTCTTTCCTCCATCTTTCTCCCCATCTGTCTCTCCATCTCTCTCTCCCCATCTGTCTCTCCTCCATCTCTCTCTCCTCCATCTCTCTCCCCATCTGTCTGTCCATCTCTCTCTCCATCTCTCTCTCCCCATCTGTCTCTTCCATCTCTCTCCCCATCTCTCTCCCTGTCTGTCTCTCCCCACCTGTCCTCTGTCTCTCCTGCATCTGTCTCTCCCCATCTCTGCCTCTCCTCCATCTCTGTCTCCCTTTCTCAGAATCCCGAGTTGTGTCCAACGACTCGGACTCGGACCTAGAGGAGGCCTCCGAGCTGCTGTTGTCCTCGGAGGCCAGTGCCCTGCGGCGCCTCAGCCTCCTGGAGCAGCAGCAGAGTGAGGCCAGCCTGGAGGAGGCTTCTGGTAGCCACAGCGGCAGCGAGGAGCAGCTGGAGGCCACCGCCCGGGAGGACGGGGACGAGGACGACCCGGCCCGGCAGCTCTCAGGATTCAACACAAACCAGTCCAACAACGTGCTGCAGGCCCCACTGCCCACCATGAGGCTCCGTGGCGGGCGGATCGCGCTGGGTTCCTGCAGGGAGAGGCGGCCTGAGTTCGTGTGAGCTGGGGCGGGGCCGGGACCACAGGTGGCTTCTCTCTTGCCTGCTCCTGTCCCTCCAGGGGGGCTCTATGCGCCGTCCTGGGGTCCCGTCCTGGAGTCGCTGCTGAGAGCACCTGGACTTGGTTGTCCTGGCAGCACGCGCCGCCTCCCAGAAGCTTCCAGGAGCACAAGGGTCTCGGGGCCACGGGGTGTGCCCTGCGCTCTCCCCTGCTCCCCGGCCCAGCTGAGCTGAGGAACACTGCTGTCTTGTGAAGTCGCGGTGGCCTTGTTGGTGCCCACAGGGCTGTGTGGATGGAGGAAGCTGTCCCTGCCCGGCGCATGCCCCGGTCATCACAGGGAGGGCAGGCCCTGCCCCGCCTCTCACAGGTCTGTTGCAGGGACTCCGGAGACCATTCTGGGAGCTGTGGATGGGGGCGGAGGCTGGGGTCTGGTGCGGTGTCCAGGGTGCAGTCCGGCAGGGCCTGAAGACTGGCCCTAGACTCCCTTTTCCAGAACACCAGGTGTGGCCACCTGGGGCTGAGGTACACAGTGGGGCCTCTCGGAAGCCACCGTGTAGTTTTTCACAGGCACGTGTATTTTGCTGAAATAAAGGTTTTAATCGGGTGTTTTCTGTGGCAGCTGCCAGCCTGGAAGGGGCCAGGGAGGGGACACAGCCCCGCAGCGTGGCCCTGGGCCTCCTCCCAGGGGAGATGTGAGGAAGGGAAACCCCCTGCCACGGGGCCCCGCGAGGTGGGAGCCCAGGTGGTCTTCACGACAGGCTGTGCCGACACTCAGGCATCGAATGACCGTGTCGTGTCCACCTGCAGCCCAGGGCAGTCCAGGAGAACGTTCCAGATGACGGACGTGTTCTTGAGCTCTGAGGTTCCACACGCCAGCCCCACGTGGCCACCAAGCACTGGAAACGTGGCCCATATGCCTGTGGAACTGCGTTTTGTTTGAGACAGGGTGTAACCCTGCGGCCCAAGCTGGAGTATGGTAGCACAATCGTAGCTCACTGCAGCCTTGACTTCCTGGCCTCAAATGATCCTCCCGCCTCAGCCTCCCAAAGTGTTGGGATTACAGGTGTGAGCCACTGTGCCCAGGTAATCTTTTAAGTTTTTTGTAGAGGGGAGGGGTTTCTCTGTGTTGCCCAGGTTGGTCTTTTAACTCCCGAGCTCAAGCGATCCTCCTATTTGAGCCTCACCGCAACCTCCACCTCCTGGGTTCAAGAGATTCTCCTGCCTCAGCTCCCAAGTAGTTGGGATTACAGGCATGAGCCACCACGCCCAGGTAATTTTTGTATTTTTAGTAGAGACAGGGTTTTGCCATGTTGGCCAGGCTGGTCTCGAACACCTGACCTCCAGTGATCTGCCCACCTCGGCCTCCAAAGTGCTGGGATTACAGGCGTGAGCTACCGCACCCGGCCTCCAGCATGTTCTCATCTTCCCAAACTACGACTGTGCACATGACACACGCTGTCCCCATCCCCGTCCCCACCCCCGGGCACCCCCATCCTGCTTCCGGGCTCTGACGACTCTAGCGACCTCCTAGGAGTGAAATCAGTGTTTGTCCTTTTGTGTCTGTCTTGCTTTGGCCGAAACGATTTTGAAAACACATTTGGAGAGAAGGGGAAGCACCGTCCCTGTCACTCACACACCATCACACTTAACCTAAAGATCCCTGCGGGACTGCACTGCGCCATCCCCGGCCTGGGCGTCGGGAGCCTTGCAGACCACCGATCACACAAGGGTGAATTACATCCTCATAAAGCTCTTGTGAAATAAACACAGGCGGCTGGGTGAAACTTGGGCAGGCGAGGCCTTCTGAAATCAGACAAAGGGGGAAGTAGAGCCAGATCCCAAACGTCTATACGAGGAACTGGCCGTAAACCACAGCTGCACACACCAGAGAACTACTCCACACCCTCACGGGAAGGGAAGGGAGGGAGACACGCTCACGCCTGACCCAGGAGCACAAGTGGGAGGGCGGGGTGAGGGCCTGGGGAGGCGCTGACCTCCAAAGCCAGGGCCAGAGAATGCCAGCAGGAGGGCCTGCATGCCAAGCCGACCTCCGTGTGCTTGGGGAGACACAAGGCCACCTGCTTAAATACCTTTTCAGTAGGCCTGGTTTTCATATCAAGCGAATTTATTTGCTGAAAACATCTTTAACGTTTGAAAACACCCAACCTCCTACAACAACCGAAAACTCCAGAGCTGGAATCTCACACCCTGGTGGCTCGAGGGTGTGCACAGCTGTGAATGGAGTAAGGAGCCGAGGCTGGGCGGGGGCCACCACGCATCAGGGCCCCCGAGGAAGGGAAGACAAGGGGTAGAAGGCTGAGAGCCCGGGAGGAAGCAGTGGCTGGTGGGAGACCGGGACCCCAAACCCCCAACAGAGGGGGCCCGGCACCAACTGCCCCCAGGTGACCTCCCTCAGGGGCTTTATCTCTTCTGAGGCTGCATCTTGCACAAATCCACACGTGAATGGGGCCGGCTGGGCCTCACCCCAGGACGGGAGAACTTGGGTGAAGGCCACCTGCCTTGGGGAGTCCAGAGCAGCAGCAGCCGGGAGAGCTGGGGGGCTGGACTCTGGCAGGGCAGGGGCGTCCGTCCTGCAGGGATGGGGGTCACTGTCTGTGTGTCTGCCTCTAGGGGCTGGGAAAGAAGTGAAGGGTGGTCACACGAGTGGGGCAGATCTAGTCGGCCCAGGACAGCCCAACGTCCACTACTGAGCGATAAGGAGGTGCAGGAGGCCCGGCGGGAGGAGGCCCAGGCCACAGTGCAGAGGCTGGGCGGCTCACTTGTGCGCAGCGGTCACACAGGTGTGGGCAGTGGCTGTGACCTCAAAGGAACTGTGTCAGCATCAGACCAGGCCGAGCCCCACCCCTGGGCTGAGTGTGAAGTGGGGCTGCCTGACAGGACAGCACCTCGCCAGGACCAGAGTCCAGGGGAGCTGCGAGGTTCTCACATGAGCAAAGGCTGTCCCGCTCCTGACTCAGGCCAGTCCCTCCCCAGGTGCCCACTCCAGGAAGGGTTGGCCTGAAACCGCCCCTCCTCTCCGAGCGCTGGGGTCTCCGGGCAGGTTTCTAAACCCTCTTCTGGAAAGGCCCGCCACACACCCGCCCGTCTCTCGGGTCTAAGGTGGGTCAGTGGTGGGGGAGACGCACACCCCGCGTAGTCAGGTGGGGGCTGGAGATGTCCTGGGAGCGCCTGGTGGCCCAGCTGGGCTGGTGCTAGGACGGGTTTGCTGCTGGACGAAGTGAGAACAGCTTGGAGGGGACGACACCCCCGCCTCTTGACCCCACCTCAGTGCCTGTCCCTCTGGCCATCTCACCTGTCAGGCGGTGGCTACTGCACCAGCCGGTAGGTGATGTACCTGCCCGCCGTCTCGCTGGGCCGGATGATCTTCACCACCTGCAGAGGCAGAGAGCAGGGGCTGGGAACACCTGAGGGGCCTCACTGCAGTCACCAGACAGCAGGCGGGCAGCCCACGGGCTGGGGATGGCCGGCAGGGGCCCAAAATGCTGACCCTGGGCTGCAGGACCCGCTCCCCGGGAACCTGGGTCACGCTCTTCTCTGGGCCTAGTGACCCTGGCTTTAAGAGGGGGAGACTGGGGGTGTGGTCTCGAGGTCCCCTCTAGGCCCTGTGTTGAGGGGCAGGGGCTGTCACGGAGGAAGAGAAGCCCCTTCTCTGAGTGGTCAGCTCAAAGCAGCCCCAGGGCCCCTTCTTCCTGCAAGGCTCACCTGCCCACGCTTTATCCCAAAGTAGCGCGCCACAGGGTCCCCCGCCTGGATCCTGGGCAGCTGGTTCTCTCGGAGCTTACTGGGAAGCAGGGTCAGGAAAATGCCAGACGGAGCCGTGGAGTGGGAGGGGGACGCAGAAGTCTCAAGGGACAGGGGCTGGAAAGGATACTATCGGGCCAGCAGCTCTGTCACCTCCTCCTTGGTCATGACGACGTGCTCAGGGACCAGCTGCCGAGAGAGGAAGCCACCAGGCATCACCGAGGGCTGGCCAGACCCCACGGCTCCCAGGCGCCACCACAGCCCCTGTGCCTCCCTCCCCCGACCCCCGCTGCACAGGCTTCTGAGGCAGACGGGCAGGGCACAGCCGCCTCCCGCTGGGACCCCTCCTGCCATGTCGGTAGCACTAGGGTCCCTCCACACCCCCAACAGTCCCGGTTCTACAGGCTGGGGTGGGCCTGGGGATCTGCATTTCTAGGAAGCTCCCGGGTTTGGCTGCTGCAGGTCCCGGGCCACCCTTTGAGAACCCCTGTTCTCCACGCACTAACGGGAGCACCCACCCTGGGCCCCAGATCCCACATCTTCCCGGCCACCCGCAAACCCTGCATCTCTGCCGGCCCCACGCAGGCTCCACGGCGGGCGCCCACCTCGTGCTCCGTGATGTTGATGAGCAGCTCCTGCTGCAGAAACTGCTCCAGGATGTACTTGGGGGCCATGTCGACCAGGGACTGGAAGAGAGAGGCGCCCAGACAACCCCAACTCCATTTCCTGCCTCAAGCTACATAGAGCTTACTCGCGTGCCCCAACACACCCCACGTCATAAATCAGAAAACCCCACTGCCAGCCCCCCCACCAGCCTCTCCGCTCAGCAAGGGCCTCTGTCATGAGCAGTGCTGAGGCCGTGGAAACTCGGACATGTTTCCATCCGTCACACGCCTCTAGGGGCGGCCCTCAGAGCTGCAGGGTGACCTCTTCCCCATACGGGGTGCCGCTTTGTGTGACTGCGTGAACCCCGCAGCCGGTGGGCCAGGGCCTAAACTGCTCTGCTGACTGCCCATCACAGTACGGCAGCCTGGCTCAGGAGTGTCCAATACACAGACGGGGAACACGCCCCGTGCCGGGCCTCCTCTGCATGTCCCCCTGGACATTGGCTCAGGACAAAGAACCTCCGGCTCCCGCAAGCCGCACCAGGCCGAGGGCTGCAGCACACAGGCACTGGCGAGAGAGGCATAGTGCCCTCCGCCCTCACGCCCCTCCCGAGCGCCAGGGGAGGACGGCAGCTGCCTGGGGTGGGGCTGGGGTTCAGCAGTGGGGCCATGGACGGGGTGGGAGGGAGGTGGTCAGGGCTTGTCAGACATCCGGGCCACATCCTCCAGGGCACCCTGAC